CCAGGTCTAAAGTTGTTTGGTAAGTTAAAAATATAATTTGAAGAACTTGATTTCTAGATTAGCATATTAGATAACTTTTTATAAATGTAAAATTAAACAACAATTTTTTATAGACTCAAGCAAGAGACACAAAGAATCTAGATACACTTGTAAACTGAGATATTTATATAGTTGAGTCACAGGCACACAATTTTGAGCTTATGACTCAGACTTTGTATCTTATATACAGTTAGCTTTAAAATGTTAGGGCATAAGTGTAAGCACAAAGTTTGCATGACTGAAGATTTATAGGAAACCCCCACACTTGCTCAATTATTTTTGACATTTTTCTTTGGAGTTTAACTAGCGCCTTTGCCCAGGTCTATAAGGTTTATAAGTAGACCCGCCTGTACCCCAGCTTCCCGTTACACTTAGAACAACCTCTAACTCTTATTATCATGACCTTCAAAGTTCTTTACGATCTGGCTCCTGCCTACTTTTTCAGTTTTACTAATCTCTCACAACTTTTCCCATTGCTCATGTACTTCATTCAACATACTGGCCTTCTTTCAGTTCTTGGAACACACCAATGTCAGTCTTGTTCCAGGCAGCTCAAACTTTTATCTCCTCAGATGGGTCTTTCTAACTTAAAATAGGTCCCTCTATCCATTTATCCCTCTATCTCCTATCTCCTTGGACACCTTGTTTCTATCCTATGCACACCCATGCTGCCTCTGCCATACACACAGGCCAAAGAGCTGTGTTTATGTTCTCTCACCGGACAGCATTCTCTGTAAGTTCAAAGACCACTTCTAGAATACTCACTGTACCTCCGAAAGTCTGGGACAACATCTGGTACTAAATAATATTTGATAAATAGTTAAGTGAATGAACTAAGGAAGTGAGTAACACTGGTTGAATGGCATGATCCAAAGTTGAGGCTGAATTGATGAAATGGGGCTGATAGAAGAAAAGATGAAAATAAATCCACAGTTTGGTGACAGTGATGAGAAATAAATCTCGGATCACAATCTCAAATACGCAAGGGGCAACATATAACCTTATAAATCATCCTGGCTTCAACTTTGAGAATTTCACCCCGCTTACCTCTCACCACTGGTTAGTAGAAACTTATGTCAACTATTCTTGGGCTCCCTCCTCTGTTTCACGATGAGACAGAATTCAGGCCCAAGACAAGGGACTCAGTTGTGTCCTTTGTCTGCTCTAGTTACTTGTAGGTGTCTACTGATTCTGCTCATGAAGTTTCTTCAGGTCTGGGTTCTCTGCCTTTCCAGATGTCTTTTAAAACATGAGAAATATTTATGAGGGGTGCTTATGAGTCCGTCTGTTTTTAGACACGTAGGCAGTCTTTACTCTTTGGAGCTTTGCTGCTTCTGCTGTGCGCTGTGGTAGTACCAGAAATGCACAGTGTGGCTCCCCAAATAGATTTTTCTCTATGCTGCCTGATCTTATGGACTCACCTTTTCTGGGATTCTTCTCAAAGACACTTTGATGTTTCACTTCTTTTCAGGGCATTTAGCACAACCCTATGAAGCAGATTTGGGCTTTACCCAAGTTGGGAGGTATATATGACTTTTTCTTCTCCTACATCTTTCCTTTTCAATCACAAAGTTTGGGTATCTTTTTGAAAATATGAATAACAGAAAAAATAGGATAAAGGAACACAATTTTGTATTTCCTAAACTTATTCTCCTGGCAGAAATTAGATTAGTTTGGGTCAGAACAGAGGCATAGAGTACAATTATGATCATGTCACTCTTCTGATTATCATACCATAATGGTCTCCTATTGCTCTTAGGATAAAGATCAAACTCTGACTTAGCATTCCAGTCACTAATTTTAAAACTATGTCACATTCATAAGTATGTATAATATAATCAATAGGAGGGAACATCATTAAATATTTTAATTCTTTTACATTTTTATATTCTATCCTGTTCCACATCCTCCTAGTTCCATCCTTTCCCTATAGGTAATCATTGTTATTTATTTAGTTTCTGGTGTATCTTTCCAGAATTTTGTATGCATATATAGGCAAACTGAATACATATGTGTGTATACATTTTTACTTGTTCTCTTTTTATGGAAAAGGTAGCATATCATACACAATGTTCTGCATGTTGTATTTTTTACTTAATAAAAAAAAAGAAAATCTTCCCATCTCAGTATTTAGAAAATTAAGTCATTTTTTTTACAGCTGCATAGTACCCCATTGAATGAATATATCACAATGTATTAGACTAGCTTCCTGTTGTTGAACACTTGATTTATTTCCAGTCTTTTTCTATTACAAAAAAATGACACAATGAATAAAATCATAAACATATCATTTGAATGGATATTGCCAGTTTACTCTCCACAGAAGTTGAACTAGTTTTACAGTCTCACTCACAGTATATATAGTGCCTGTTCAGTATAGTGTATTGTCAAACATTGGGGATTTTGGTAATCTGACAGATGAAAGAAGCATTTTATTGTTTTTTCTTGCATTTCTCATTTTATGAAAGAAAGCATCCATCATGGACAAGCACTATAAAGTACACAGTGCTACGAGTGTCTACCATAAGAAGCAATAGGAAACTTTCCCTGTGATAATGCCAATAGAGCTGCAGTTTAAAGGATGGGTGGGAGTTCTTTCAACAAGGAAATACCAGTGGGCTCTAGGAGAGAGAATGAGAAGGACTTTGGTATGTTAAAAAGCTGGAGAGGCAAGCAGGGTCCTGGTGGGCTAAGCCAGAGTTTAATCTTTATCCTAAGAGCAATAGGAGACCATTATGGTATGATAATCAGAAGAGTGACATGATCATAATTGAATTTCATATAGTCTACCACCAAATCAAAGTAGGCAAGTATTAGCACTGTTTCTTTTATGAAGAATCCCAGGTACTAATCTCTACTTACTAAGAAAAAAAGTAAACTTTTAGAAATAGATGCAAGAATGCTTTGTTTTACAAATTTAATCCTTTGTTTTACAACTTTAAAGCTCAAGAGATAAGAGATGTTTCCAATTAAAAATGAAGTTAACTCAAATTGGAAAAAACAAAAGAGCATTTCTGCAAAGTATTTTATGTGCTTAGCCTGTCATTATGTGTACATTAAAACAAGAACAATAAATACTTGTTAATGAGATTAAAAAAACCCAGAGGGTTTACCCCATCTAGAGATACCTAAGTTACTTTTGTTCCTGGAGAATTCCTTTTGAAATATAATAAGAGATAAGTGAGGCTCTTCATGATGGCTGTGGTGCTTGTGAAACAGGTTGTAAGCCCATAGCATGCACGCAAGCATTATGTAAACTGATAATCAAAGGATATATATTCCCTTATTAAGATTTAACCCATTCACTGCTATTCACTATAATATTACTGCTATTATATTTTCAAATCACAAGGTACAATGGCATCTAATGAACTCAAGATTGCTGGGAAAAATATCACAATCTCAGATATGTAGATGATACCATTCTTATGGCAGAAAGTGAAGAGGAACTAAACATCCTTTTGATGAGGATGAAAGGGGAGAGTGAAAAAGCTGGCTTAAAATTCAACATTCAAAAAATTAAGATCATGGCATCCAGTCCTATCCTTTCATAGCAAATAGATGGGGAAAAGTGGAAGCAGTGACATATATTCTTTTCTTGGGCTCCAAAATCATTGCGGATGGTGACTGCAGCCATGAAATTAAAAGACGCTTGCTCCTTGGAAGTAAAGCTATGACAAACCTAGGCAGTGTATTAAAAAGTTGACACATCACTTTCCAACAAAGGTCTGTATAGTCAAAGTTTTTATGATTTTTGCAGTAGACATGTACAGATGAGAGATTTGGACCAAAAAGAAGGCTAAATGTCAAAGAATTGATGCTTTTGAACTGTGGTGCTGGAGAAGATGCTTGAGAGTCCCTTGGACTGCAAGGAGATCAAATCAATCAATTCTAAGGAAATCAATCCTGAATATTCATTGGAAGGACTGATGCTGAAGCTGAAACTCCAATACTTGGGTCACCTGATGGGAAGAGCTGACTCACTGGAAAAGACCATGATGTTGGGAAAGACTGAAAGCAGCAGGAGAAGAAGGCAACAGAGAATGAGATGGTAGGATGGCATCAGTGACTCAATGGACAGTGAAAGACAGGAAAGCCTGGCGTGCTGCAGTCCATGGGGTCGCAAAGAGTCAGACATGACAGCGACTGAACAACAACAATGAACTTAGAGTACACAGATTACAATTGAATATTTACTTTGTTTCTAATTTTAATTTTATAATTAACCTTATACAACAAATGAGGCACTGAGTACTCTTCATAAAAGAAAATCCATTTTTGAATTTAAGTCTTGAGCACTTACTTAGCAACTTTTGACTTTGACTCCATGATTTCTTAGTGTAAAATCTGTAGGGTCAATGTGGAATAGATGAATTTAGTAGCTCTTGAATATCTACATGTAAATTAGCTGTTAATAATTTTCATTTCTTTAGAAGGACTATCCGAGTCCTAGGAGTTCTAACCCTGCTCATTAATGTTGCCTACAAAACTAATGGAGATATGATTTTTAACACAGTACATCATATTTTCTTTTTTCTCTCTTCCTCCTTTTAGAGAAATACATGATGGAATATTCTGTAGTCTTCTAGCTTTCAACAGAGGCAATTATAGAAGGGTCATCTCCTTCTGCTTTAATAAACTTAGAAAAGTCATATTTGGTGCCTAAAGAGTAATTGAGTAAATTTAAACTATGCTGTGCTTTTGATTCTGTTCCTCCAAAGCATAGACACAAAGGGAAATTATAATATAATTTATAATACAATTGAATGTATTACTTTATTTTCTTTTCCTATTTGGTCTATGGGCACCACCTGGTGGTAAAGCAGTGCATTTCAAGTGCTGTGTGTGTGTGTGTGTGTGTGTGTGTGTGCGCGCGCACACGCGCGAGTGTCTTTGTGTGTGTGTGTGTGTGTGTGTGTGTGTGTTGAGAGTATTAACATGGGAAATGGAATGTTAATATGTGTGTGTGTGTGTGTGTGCGCGTGCATGTCCATATGAGTGTGTGTGTGTGTTGAGAGTATTAACATGGGAAATAGAATGCTAATATGTATTCCTAAATATTGATTTAGATTAACAATGCAATTATTTTGCAACAAATACCTAATGAAACTAGTATACTAATAAATACATGCTAGAACAGGAAATTAATATATACATGCTAAAAAAAAGGGAGAATAACTCATGGTGGAAAGCAAAATAGCATTCTCTTTTTTACATGAGCTATACCTCTTAAAATTCCATCCTTAAATGAACATATATTTATTGCATCAATGTTCTTACTGAGGACAAGAGTCAACCATTGATAACCAACATAAAACCATATAAATTTTTCTTTTTTTTAATTTTTAAGAATAATAACTTTAAAAGTATGTATCCTCTTTCTGATCTTAGTAGGTTAAGTAACAAGTCACAGAATTTTAAAACTACAAGGCACCATAGAATCATCTAGACTAATTTTACAAGTGTTGTAGCTGAGATTCAGAAACATCAAGTGACTTGTCCAAAGTCACACTGGTAATTAGTGGCTCAACTCAAGTAAGAATATTGTTATTCTTACTTTCAGTCTAGGAACATAAGACACAAAGTTATAAGCAATGCTGAAATATCTCTATATGAAGAGATATACCCTTAACTTAGCTATACACTTCTTGAAGACACTAAGGTGTGACTTAATACATATTAGGAGTTTTATTCTAACATTCTGAACACAAGGAATAATAGTAGCAATTTATGCTTCATAAATCTATGTAAAAGATTTCCTGTTAAAAGATCTCTTTACATATATGGTCAAAACAATATTTTTCAACTTATTTCAGCTGCTATGAGAAAAGCTAAAAAATTCTGTTTCCCCTTCTAACTGCTTCAGAATCAGAGATTTATTTCTACAAAGTAGGTACCCATTTGTAGATGTGAGCATAAACCATGTTCATAGCTCCCTCTCATGACCACTGAATGAATACTATACAAGCCTCTTTTATTCTCGCTGTTGTATTCAACTAACAGCTCACTGGTTAAGTTTTAATTGCTTCCAATGAGGTCAGCAAAGGTATTTATCGAAAAGCTCTGAATAAAAGGCTCCACACACATACACACAAGCTCACATGCGCTCACACACACAGAGACAATCCTCTTGCCTGCTGTTGATTTATGGAAACAATTATGATTCCGCTGGAGAATTTCTCAGCTGAGAAATAGTTTGTAGCTACAGTAGAGAGGCTCAAGTTGCACAGGGCAGACAGCAGACATGGAATTCTTGTGTATCCAGCTGTTATCAACAGAACAAGTAAGTGACTGTTACTTGTCTTTAAAAATAATGCTAAATGTTTGTTAGTCGTTTATCTGTTTCTCTGGTTTTAGTACTGAGGGGAAAAGTAAAGTTACCAGACTTTTGAGCCGTGTGATTATCTACAGTAATTACATTATAGAACTTACATAAAGATAAGGTTGAAATTCTCCAGAGCAATTCTGACATTTAACTTAAGAACTGTGGGCAGTTCAGAAGAAAATAACTGTCAAACCACAACCGTAAAAGAATAAAGACATCTAGGAAAAAGCATTTATATTTTGTTAATAGTAACTTTAGAACTGAATTTAAATCAACAGCTTTAAATTGCCGGATGTTTCTTATCAAATAGGGACTGGAATGAATGGTACAATCATGTTCAGATTAACCTCTACTAATATAGAACTTTTATAAGTCTACAAATAGAGTGGTAAGGGCCCTGACATCCTCTGTGAAAACTGTTTTAAACGTACCCTCACAGTAAGAATTACACAGTATGTTGTAACAGTATTTGCCCACTGAAATTTGTAAAACCACTTTTCATCTTCCTCTCTCTCCTCCCTTTCCATTCTTCATCTCTCATTGCAAACAGAAGTCAAGTAGCAAACAGCATCTCAGCAACTGAGGTTATTACAACCTGCTTTTATAAGGATACACCAACAGAGAGTTATTTAAGGAGGACTCCTATACTGCTATCAGGAACTAAAAGGATAAGGCTAACAATTTGGAGAGTGCAACTGCTCTTCCTTAAACCAATCTACAGTTCACAGATAGGAAGAGGTCAATGACCTAGGAGCAACAATCAACTCAAGATTTAATTTTCATTATGTTATTCATGAACACCCGGAGCACTATACTATAATGCGCAAATGGATACTGACATGGATCCTGCCAAGTTTGCTCTACAGATCATGCTTCCACATTATCTGTCTGGTGGGCACTATATCTTTAGCTTGCAATGACATGACTCCAGAGCAAATGGCTACAAATGTGAACTGTTCCAGCCCCGAGCGACATACAAGAAGTTATGATTACATGGAAGGAGGAGATATAAGAGTGAGAAGACTCTTTTGTCGAACACAGTGGTATCTGAGGATTGATAAACGAGGCAAAGTAAAAGGGACTCAAGAGATGAAGAATAATTACAGTAAGTAATATTTTCTTATTTACAGAAAAGCTTATGAGCCTTAACAATCTGTGAAAAGATCAATTTTCAAGTGACATGCTGTCTCAATTTCCCTTTTTTTAAAAAAAATTAAATGTAATTTTCTTTTGGCTCTTATTTGGGATAAACTATGTTCCCAAAAATATCTCCTGGAGTAAGGCAAATATAATAATATTACAGTTGGAGCCGATAAACCAAGCCAATTTGAAAATATATTCTCCATGTCCTAAGCTCAAATGCTCCTATGTTAAGCAAAACATAAACATTATTATTTATCCTGAAATGTGATTTATTTTCTTGTAGCAAAGCTCACTAGGAACTCTACTAGAATACTCAGTGACTGTTGCACCAAAAATGCATTATCATTAGTTTGAGGAAATACAGATTTTTTTCAAAAAATAATTTGATTTCTCTTGAAAAAATATTTCCATGGTGTCAAATACTGAATTGTGCTAAAATGACTTGTGCAATTGTATATAACTATAAAACAGATAGGAATCTGTGATCTCTTCACCTGTTCATGTCATAGGAACTTGTATTTGATTGCTTAATTATTTACCTAGGCACAAAAACAGGCTCCTCCTAACATTTTCTTTATCTTCATAGTCTATGTCATAAAAGTTCTATGTTACCTTAAGGGAAATATAAATGTGAAGGAGGAAATAAAAGTGAGTTGGAAGAGACATTAATTTCATGATTTAAATGTAGATAATTATATTTCCTTCAATAATCAGTTATTCTTTTTATGTTGATGTATCAGGTTTGGATTTATCATTTAGCAGTTATTATTAATAACCAATTCCAAAAGTATTAAATTTTACAGAGTAAAATATATACCTGAACATGTACACTAAGAATTTAAAATCCCTGAGTGAAAAGAAATTTTGTTTGCATTACTAGCACTTGAACAATGTTATAACATATCATTTTATAATGTTACATATGTTAAATTTAATTGAAAAAGAATGCATGGGGGTGATACTGTAAACATTTGCTTAGCATAGTGCCAGGCTTACAATTGAATATTTAAAACTTTGCTGCTTATTTAATAAATGTCTTTTAGGCTTCTAAACTATTAATAATAAATCAATATGGTAATATGGGGAATTATGTTTCCAATATGAAAATGAGAGAAACTACTTTTTAAACTATAACTGATATAGAATGTTAAGGCCATTTTAATGGATTGCTAACAGTATGGTTATTATTACCTCTATTAATAATGTTATCATGTTAGTTTTAGAATATTGCTCTCTATACTTAAGTTTAGCTAAGGAAAAAACTATTTGGAGGAAAGTTTTGTGGATAGCTATTTCTATGTGAGCAATAGAATCTGGCTCATATCAATAAATGACCCCATAGACTGTGGTCTGCCAGGCACCTCTGTCCATGAAATTCTCCAGGAAAGATACTGGAGTGGGTAGCCATTCACGTCTCCAGGGGATCATCCCAACCCAGGAATTGAACCCAGGTCTCCTGCATTGCAGGAGGACTCTTTACCATCTGAGCCATGAGGGAAGGCCATTTAAAAGTTACTGAGGTTTATAATGGATAGCAGAACTTGGTGGAGAAAACAGAGCCCAGGTGGAAGTTATGACAGAGAGGTCCAGTCCCTGCCTGTGACTGACTCTGGTACCACTCCTTACTTTTTCCAATTCTCATTTTTTAATCTGTAAGATGTGGGATATATACAGATGATCCAATATACATTTTATTTTTAAATTATTTTTATTTATTTATTTATTTTTCATTTATTTTATTAGTTGGAGGCTAATTCCTTTACAATATTGTAGTGGTTTTTGTCATACATTGACATGAATCAGCCATGGATTTACATGTATTCCCCATCCCGATCCCCCCTCCCACCTCCCTCTCCACCCGATCTCTCTGGGTCTTCCCAGTGCACCAGGCCTGAGCACTTGTCTCATGCACCCAACCTGGGCTGGTGATCTGTTTCATACATTTTAGTTCTTACAGTCTATTTTATTCTAAACTTTAGAATATATAACATAAATGTGAACAATCTAAATTCTCATATAATTACCATACATATTGAATGAGATGAAAGTGTATATCATCTTAATGATAAGTTGAGCTGTCAGAACTAATTTCAAATTCTGGTAGTAAAGTTATTGAGCCAAAACACTGTAGAATTCTTCCATATGCTAATTCCTTTTGACTGCTTTTACCAAGTAATGAAAAAGTGAAAAATCAGATGCAAAATTCAGTGAAAGTGAACAGTATTCGTAATTAATTGGGATCAATTAGAATATCTAAAATTGGAATACCTACAATAAGAATGCATTCAGATATATGTGTCTTATTTTGTATTAAAATTTCTTGAAACTATGAAACTCAGGTATTTTAAAACACACACAAAGTGCTAAAGTTTTCCATAGTTTGAAACACAATTTAGCACTGACCTTGAGTAACAATAAAGCCACTAGGGTACATAATTTCTCTTCTAACACTAATTCTATAGTAAAAAATAAAGCAACAAAGAAAGTGAGGAAGTAAAGAAGAAAGAAGGAAAGAAAGAAAGTCACCCTATACCATTATAAGTTAGAATGTCACAATACCAATGTACTAAAAGAAATAATATATATTATGTAAATAATCTTATTTCTATAAGCTTTTTCATAGACTGTATATACTTTCTTGATAGTATATACTATATATAGTATACTTCCAGGTAAATTCTCCTAGAAAGGGAAGCTTACATCTGGATCCTTTCAGTAAACTCCAAGTTGTTGTCAAGTTTTGCTGCTATCTTATTGAAGAATAAGCCTGTCAGACTTCTCCATAAATAGAGGCTAATTCACTGTTGTCTATAGAAAATCCTAAGGTACTCCATTGAAAAATATACAGAGAATAACATAGAAGAGAATTCTGATGCTCATTTTCTTATTGTCTAATAACATAGAAGAGAATTCTAATATTTATTTCCTTACTAATCTTAAAATTGAGTGCCTCATACAAAAAATGCAAATTGCCCTAGGTGAAGTTGAAGCTATTGGATCCAGGTACAAAGAAATTGCTCAGAAGAATTTGTTTAAAAGTCAAAGAAAACAAGAAACTGAAATTATAAAACTTGATGTTTATATCTCTCAATCCTTAACTGAATTAATGAATAAATGAACAAAAGCTGTTTCCTTCCTATTTCATTAAAATGAGAAAGTAAAAGGTAATTGGATTATCTACTAGGTTGAAATACCAAGTACAGAAAGTGGAAAAGATCAAAATTAAACTTTGAATTTCATGTGTTCTGATGCCTTAACTTCGTTCATACATTGTTGGACATTCTTCTTTGGAGGCCTTTTAAGATGGGATACATTTAAATGTCTTAGATGAAAAATTTTTGCATAAAAAGTTGGACATCATCTACACGAACAGTGGTTCTCTGGGTTACCATAAGAAAGTCTCTAGTTCATTTTCATGGCTTTGCTTTGAATGAAGGGGAAAATGATCTGAAGATATTAATGGATCTTGAAGGACTGCTTGCTTCACCAGCAGAAGCACTGCTCCTTCATAGGAATGTGGTTTATAAGATGTGGCTAAGATAATGGATTGGAGTAGGTAGGTGAGGTGAAAAATCTGGGTGTATAATTCTGCTTCCAGAAGTGTTAGGCTGGGGCAGGTGAATGGAGGGTTGGAGGAAAAGAAGGGGAGTGATAGGGAGTGGATATGACGGCTCATGTCTCACATCTTTGTTGTTGTTGTTGAGTCGCTCAGTTGTGTCCAACTCTTTTGCGACCCCATGGAGTGTAGCCTGCCAGGCTCCTCTGTCCGTGGGACTTCCCAGGCAAGAACACTGGAG